AATGCAACTCGTTGCGAGTGCCTCTCGAGATAATAGGGAGATAGGATCGTGTTCCGATATCTTCACGTTTCACATATTAGGTGATGTACGTATTATCTATTTTAAGAAGAAGTTATGTATCTCTAAAGAATTTACTTATGTTTTATAATTAATTTTCATATCAGCGTCTAAAATGTTCTAAAAGTTATATCAATATAGCAGAGGACGATATTAAAATATTTACGTGAATAAAAACAAGGATTCGAAGACCTTTCAAGATTCTTTAATTAACTTATGGTGCCTAGAAAATAATTTATCATATTGACGGGTGTTTTGAATAGATTTAAATTTGCAAAAGGTCTTGATGTTTTTCTCATCTACAAAAGTTCTACAAATTTGGTTTTACTGTACATATTTTGTAAGATATCCACCTCTCAGTAAAAGCCCAGTATTTAGGTAGAAATAGTTATTCCTTTAACTCTTTTCACATAAAAAGTTAAAGTTGAGAGTTCTGTTTAGCATCAACTATGCAGCACTGCATAGTTGATGTTAATCATTAATAGACATCGGAAACTTTATGGTGACAATAAATAACGACAGCGACAAACGCAACAAAATAGCGACAAATAAATAAACGGTAATAATATATATTATGCCAGAAATAGGCTAAATCTGTAGTAAGAAGTGTGGTGCTCTATGTTCACAGTGCACACGTCGTCCAAGCAAAACGTCAAACTCACTCACACATGCACAAATGACAATGAAATGCAAAAAACCCAATTTGTTCACCGACACGCCAAGCCGACAGGGCAGGCATTTAGTTGCCACTAGATACGTATCGAATAAATTGATCGATGCGAAGCTTATACCGGAAGCCGAAATTAACTTTCTTATTTTAAATGGAACACCCCATATTTTATTGCAATTTCTGATGCTACGTGAAATTTGAATGTCACTTTATTAAATATTCCCTATACCTAGGAGTTATAGATATTGAGATATTAATTTTTAAAGATAAAATTTGACAGATGCAAATATCCGCGAAAATACTAGTAACTCTTTTCAGGAGTGTATTATCAAGTGGATTTTTGGTACCTGTAAAGGGCACTAAATTATAGTATACCAACAAATTAAAACATTTAATACTAGCTGGCTCATTTTTGTTGTTACATTTTGATAACTTCAAACAGCTATAACTTTGTTAACTTAAATTGAACACCCTGTATTTTTTTACTCTGTATGCAGATTGAAATTTCCTTTCAAGCCATATTAGTATTGTTAGGGTTGCCTTTACTACTTTTAGAGATATTTGCAAGTTTACATTTTTTGGACACTTTTTCTCGTATCAAGCCTGTTATCAAATTGGCCATGACCAGAAACATGCCAAAAACAATTAAAATAACTTGATATTTGTCAAGTTAGTTGTCAAATTATTGTTATGTCTGCAACAGTTTTTGCTGAACATTTAAATAAAAATGCCTGGGGAATGGGGATCGTTTAAATTATACTAATTAAGATTATTTTAATTTATGGACAATGTGACAAAGTAATTTCAAAAACATGTAGAGATTTTGCTGTCGATAAATAACAAACATTGTGCATAAATAACAAACAAATTAAAATAATCCTGATTAGTATAATTTAAACGATTCCTAGGTAGTTGTATTTAAATTTTCAGTAAAAACTATTACAGACAAAACAATAATTCGATAATAAACTTGACAAATGTCAAGTTATTTTAATCGTTTTTGGAGTGTTTCTAGTCATGGCCAATTTGATACGTGAAAAACTGATCAAAAAATAGAAAATTGTAAATATCTCTAAAACTAGTAAAGCAGCCCTAACAATGCTTATATGGCTTGAATCTGCATACGACAGAGTAAAATAATACAGAATGTTCCATTTAAGTTAACAAAGTTGTAGTTGTTTGAAGCTAACAAAATGTAACAGCAAAAATTAAACAACTAGTATTAAATGTTTTAATTTGTTAGTGTTATATATGCCCTTTACAGGTTCCAAAAATCCATTTGATATAACGCTCCTGAAAAGAGTTACTAGCATCTCCGTGGACCTTTGCATTTGTCAAAATTTTTCTTTAAAAATTATAATATATCAAAATCTATAACTCGGGTAGGTATAGAGAATATTTAATAAAGTGACCCTCAAATTTCACGTATAATCCAAAAATGTAATAATATATAGTGTCCCATTTAAAATAAGAAAATTAATGTCGACTTCCGGTATAACCGGAAGTGTCATAAAGTTCTAAATATTTTAGCTGTGTTGACCCTACTGTCTTTGAAAGGTTGTCAAATTTTCAGATTTATCGGATCCGTGCTTTCCGTGATATCGATAGTGAGGATTCCAGATGTAACATCCTGTATATATATTCTTATAATGTAAAGAGTGCAGTTATAAAGAGGCATCTTTTTGTTTGAATAAAATTAATTACATGAACCACATTGCAGCTGCCCTAACATTTCCGATCTCTAGACATAAATTCTAACTTGTACAACTATATAAAATATATATGCAATTAAGGTTCACCCTGTATACAAAGGACATAACTTTTGTCAAAATTCCGACAAATAACGGAAGATATATCGTCTAAAAGTCTCCAGAACCAAGCATTTCAATCGAACGTGAAAAGTTTCGTATTGATTCCGCCTATGCAGACATCTGAACCACCCAACAGTTCAGTGCCATCAATAATCTCGATCAAATTTAACCCAACCGATATCCAGACAGACTAGCTAAGTGATAGGAATTGAATTATGTAGCCGAGACACATTAGACGCCAGATGTTAGGGCCTTGTATCGTGATATAACTGACTTTGGCCATTAGAAATCTGCTTATCCTCCAATAAACCCCTTGCATAGACACCTGATCCCACTCTGTATTCAGCAGGGAGAGTTACAGGGGTTAGACTGCTGAATAAATGTATTTCTTAAAATTTAAGTTAAGTGAGTAAGTTTTATGTGATTTTTCCGAACTCTTTGGTCAAGCCGTAATTTGATATAAAAATTTTAGCCCCAAAATCAATCTTCAATTTTAATTATTTATGTCCTCAAACAATTTTATTATATTGATCGTAAATTTCGTTTTGTTCCGTTTCAAAAGGTCTGCATAGTGCCACGTTGTAATAATATTAGTAAATAAAATACCCCGCTTATCCCTTTCGCAATTGTAGTATGAATGATAAATAGAAGGTGCTTATAATAAATTAAAATTACTTGAATCGCCCCAAATTTCGCATTGCTGCACTGCACTGCTAGGCAATTTGTCAACCACTTGTCAACAACTGAGATTTATTGCCCAGTCGCCTAGTGCGGCTGTGCTATGCGCCGTTTGCCCGCGTGCTTATTCATTGAGAGATTAATATTTCTCGAAATATGCCTGGGAAGAATAGTATTTACACAATTAAACAAAAAATATATTACGAATTGAACGAAAAACACGAAGTGATTGTTTTAATTCAGCGTACAGTGATTACATCCTCTGTGACCCAAAACAATAATTCACTGCGGTCTATCTCATTGTTAAGCTCAACGGTGAAATTTGCTTATCAATCTTTTACAGTACATCACTCTCAGGACACCGCATCGAATTTGTTGTCTATTTATGATAGCAGGAGCATAACGCTGTCATTCGATGTATCCGGTTCATAACTCGGTGGAGATCATCGATTAATTTTATCGAATGCGCCAAATCTGTGATAAATGGGAGTATGTGGGTTAATACTTCGCAATTTTTACGAGTTTTACCGGGACATTCTCAAACTTGTCCAATAACGATGATTATTTTTAATATTACGTATCTATTTTATTCGAAAATTATCGCAATATGTCAATCCAATCACCAACATGTATGCCAGACGCCAATTCAATTGACTATGAAATTGTTGGTCCACAATTCGAAGAAAAAAAAACTATAAATAAATTCAAAAGTAATAAAACTTAATAAAGTATTTTACATTAATTAAAATAACAGTAGTATAAAACAGTCATATACTTTAGTAAAATAGAATAAAATACGGTAAACATTATTATATACACAAGCTAAGGTGAGAAATGCCCATAAAGACACAACATAAAATGAATAACAAAACAAACAAAAGCCAATTAAAATAGGTTCGTTATTAATTTTATGTTACAAAAAAATGCCAATGTTATATTGGAGGCTGTTGTAATTTTCACACATGACATAAATTGGTGATGACAGTAATAAATTAGAATTAGGCATTGCAAGGTACATCATATGCGAGTAGCGTGACACGTAGAAGTTAAAACGTTCCAAAATTTGAGGACAATCATACACATAATTAATGACTTTATACAAAAATACAACAGAATACATATCTCGACGTGTCTCTAAGGATTTGCAGTTAAACATGTCCAAAAGAATATTGTGAGAAAAACCAATGTTGGGGTTATAAGCAAATTGTCTCAGGGCCAGGCAAAGGCCGCTCGGGAACTCGCTCTTTTTGCATTAAATAGAGCTTATTTTGACGGTAATTTAATAAAAAAAAGAGAGAAATCACCTACCCCTCTTTGTTCCCATTATAATATTGATTGTTTATTATTATTTATTTATTACAGTTTGTGTTTTCAGCTTGGGTACTGTTTCATGGTTTATCTTATGCAAAAAAATTAAATTTTCAAATGTCAAAGAGCAGCACATCACGGCGGGTAGTGTGGAAATTTGTTATTTAATAAAATTTGCTATTTAAATAACCTTTCCTTTAAATTATGAGATTTGACAACATCGCTGTTCCGAGGTGTGCTAAAAAAGGTTAAAAAACATCACGGAATTTGAGAAAACCAACTTATGATAACCATTTTTAAAACTCAAAGGTATCCTCTGTATAAATATGACCACCATTCAAAGTACCCTCTGTATATTATATTTTAGTAAATTTACAGCGGGATAGTAAAAGCATAAAATGTTGCATATTTAATGTAATTTTTAAGTAACTTTCTTTTTGCAGTAATTTTATTGCATTCTAACCGCGTATTTTTAGTTCCAGAAAAGAACCTGGAGCTGCGTCAGGAGTACATCGGCAACCAAATGTTCCAGTTAATGTGCTACGCGGAGGGCGTCTTTCCCAAGCCGAGTATGAGCCTGCACATCGGCAACAGGTAAATCACGTAATATGCCGTTTAGACTAATATTCCGCCTATAAATTATTTGCCGCGACTTAAGTAACTCGATAAACAGGAGAGAAATAACGGGAGCCTCCAGAAGCGAAGTAAATCACGGGGAATGTTGGTTTAGGCCTGACTCTTCGCGATACATATAGTCGTCACTCAATTTCAATAAATATGAGACGCATGGATCTGATATCTTTGATGGTATTGGGAGACATCATGAATAATTTCATTTTCCTATCGGTCTGCGCGTTGAGCTCTATCGACATTGAGATTTGCAGCTTGTGTCGTAATGGAGATATCTTGAATATGAAATTTAACCGTTCCGTATAGAGGGTGTAAGAAATTTAACAAAAACTTCTTCCAAAATGTCTCCTCACAAACATATAAGATGTTGAGGTTCATAAAAGAAAATAGTATTTTCTTAATATTTTCAGAACTGCTTAACAGATTGTTTGGTGTAGTAAATGTCACTGTCTTGTGAGGAACCAGCAGAATTTCCCGCGAAGTAATTAACAGTACGTTTACAATTTTCATTGAAATATCTCACAAATTTGAAAGGAAAACCCCATAATTTTTTAACAACTTAATTTGACTGTCAACGCTGCACCCGTCGTCTGCTCGTAAATAAAGCACTGACCGCTGCTGCCACCGAACGACCTTCTAACCGCGAACCAAATCCTCCACAGCCACAGAGTCGCCAAGTTAAATGCAGTTTCCTAAAGTAGTCTTGTCGCATGGTCTCCAGAGAGAATCGCTAAACCTCTAACTGGATTATCGTCATCCATTTGTTTGTGTTCATTTCAAAGCGACGAATCCTTTAGTTTCGAAAATGTCCGTCGTAAGCGGTCACACAGGGTGATTCGATGACCTAGTTACAAAGTTAATCAATAGGAAGTAGGCATAATGTCTAGATCTACAAAAAATGTTATACGAAAGGATTTAATTGAGAGAAATAAAATGTACTACGTAGAGCCAGTTAAATAATACATTTGCATCTGGTTAATTGACTTTTTTTAAGTAATTAACATTTACTTGGATGAAAGTACTAAATATTTACTCCTAAAATAAATTAAGATACTTGCTGTGCATAATTATGTGAGGTTTTCCAAACTTCATTCTGATCCATAACAATTCAGTCACACTTCAAGCTATGTGTTCACAGTGATGGCTGATGCTGTTCTACTATTCATATGCCGTTGATTGTTTGTTGTTGTACATTTCGTAGTGTAGTTATAATCCATTTTAGATAACAAATTAATTTCTTAAAAGTAAGTCTCGTATTTAACATTAAATGATTCAATCTTGTGATTAATATTAAATATTTAATACTTAGTTTCTTCCAATGTATATATTTGTACAAATTGCATAGACAACATAATTTTTCCTTCAGTGTAGATCCGATTTTCTTGTTTTGATCTTATAACCATTTTAAAATTTTAAACACTGAAATTGTACTAACCATAATTTGATAATTTACAATTACCAATACAAAATATAAATTGAAACATGTACTATACTGTAATAATCTCATCTCTACAATGTATAATTCAAAATCATAGTGAATATTAGTAGGTTTATTAATTTAGATTAATATTTGTATATACAGTAACAACAACAAATATGTCGTCGATCATTGAACCCTAAACTAAGTACTCTAGTAGTGATATGCGACATAGTGTCAAAATGTCGCCTGAATAGCAACTATTGATTTTACACGTACAAAATGTTCTCGTCTCATCTTGCGTCACAGCATATAGCCGGTATATGGATTTAGAAGGTCTCGAAAGATATTTCATACTTGTCCACCCCTGAATAGAAGTAATATCTAGCGTTTCTTGTTATAAGACAACGTAGCTATTCCTTTCTTGTAGAAATATCCAGAAGAACTTTTAGTTTCGGTGACGATTACGTCCCTTCATGCAAACTGAATAGTTTTTGATTCATCGTATTTATATGGCCCAGTAGTTATCACATGAATAGAATAATATTATAATATATTTGAAAATGAAATTAATAGAAAACATAAAGGCTAGACAACAAGTAAATTATGCAACAACAATGCATTGTCACATTTATAAAAAAAAAGCCAAATTAACGTTCGCGATCATTGTCACGTTATTTCAACCTATAGGGGGACCGCTCATTAATATTGCTCAGTAAATTGCAAAAGTTCTTGTAAAATATCTGTTATATTTATATATTTAAGATTTTTTGCCTTCCTTAGAATTATGGCTAGCAGTATAAGTTATCTTTATATTTGGAACATACAAGGCATTTATTACTAAGAGTCACTATCAAAAAATATTGAGAAACTATAGAATTTCAGTAAATCCTATGAAACTGGTTTAAAATATTGTGTTGAGGAGTTTAAACCAACCCAGTTTAGTGCGGCAGGAAAGTTAGAAAGCTGACTTCCCGCGATATTAAATAAATAAGGTGCGCAATATTGGAAATTCAATTCTACAAATTACTACTCCATTCCAGTTTACTTACAAATTTTCGGATCAGTTCCCTCCCTGCCCTAATTTGCACTCCAAGAAGTAGCAGTTTGCACAACATGGATTATTGCCTGAAATTAGGTTCCGAACTAATAACTTTATTAAGTTTACGTACTGTGAGATTACGGGGTACTTCTGAGAAATGCCCATCTCGTCGAGATGCCCAATAACTAATAAGTCGCAACTTTGTTTAATGAAAACGCTTCAGTTCCCCGTCTGGCTAGCATGCACGAGACAGAGCTCAGTAATTTCGTTTGTATCCATAAGTTCATTATTATATCCACTGTGCAGTTCAAGGAATGGCGCCAAGTTTCAACAAGTGTGTTAATTAGTACAGCAAGTTTGAGATTAAAAGATTTTCATTTAAGTATATGGTTAATTTTTGATAAAACAATGTACAATGAAGGACGGGCTTGGTTTTATACTTAACAAAAGTATTGACGCTGAAAATAGGTAAGGCATTGGAAATAGAGATAGGTGTCCCACAAGACATTGTTCTTGGACCTACTTATTTTTTAATGTATATTAATGAAATTGCAAACTTCATTTTGGCCAGATGGTTTCTCACACCGATGATATCGCTATCATATTTCATGGAGGTAACTGGAATGGTATTAACAGAAAAACAGAAAACGAGTTGAAAATTTAATTCTTAATTATTCCAAACCTAAATATCTCTTCTTTGGTAACAGTAGTCTTAACAGTTTGATGGAACGTGCTGATATTTAAAGTAAGGTAGTTTTTCGGGTTATGCTGTGGCACTTAGTCTTAGCAACGCATCTTTGGTCTGCCCTTGTTATTTTTGGACTAGGCTCTATTGGGGCTAGGAGGATATCAAGTCCCTCCTTGATGTTCATTTCAGTTCTTGTTATTTTAAAAAATATTCACATTCTTTAGTGGACGTATTTCAAATTTATAAATGTTTTTTTAATAACCATAGTTTGTGTTTATGGCAACCAAACAACAAATATTTAGGTTGACTATAGAGAGATTTCTTTTCAATGCATGACAGGAAATTTCGTTTTAGAAAACACAAATAATGCTTAATTTTATAGCTGGCCTTTCTCCTTCGAAATTCAATTTCACCAACCGCAAACTTACCTGTGAAAAAGAATTCTGGAGGCGACGGTATACTAATTACGTCCGAAGGCGACCGAGAAATAAAATGAATGGTTGTTGTCGTCGAAAGAAGTCTAAACTCATTCAATCTTGGTTCATGTTTAATTTAGTGGCAGTCATTTGTCACATTCATGAGTCGCTGGTTCTTGCCTGCATAAAAATAATACCTCGAAGGAAAAAAAATCAATTTATCTACAGTAGCTGTCTAGCGAAGGGTCAGTCATTATAAATGCACAACTGCAAAAAATACGGTCGATATTCACGTTAAGGATATTCAGAAGAAGTCAATAATTTTAATATTTGTTCCACTGTATATTAAATCATTAAAGTTTGCAGGTTTAAAGAATCAGATATGTACTGTGTGATTCACCACTATGGATGTTCAAAAATATAAAAGCTCTATTTCAAATCACCTATTTCATAATAGCACCATTATTTATGGTTTCTTGTTAAAATAAGATTGATAATACATATCAACATAAACGGAAATATTAAAAGAACATCCAACATTATCAAGAACATGATATAAGATACATTTCGGAATAACGAATGTCCAAACAACGGCATTAATAATTTATCAAACAGCACTACAGTAAAATGAGTTATTTCACAAAATTATGGTAATTTCTGTCGAACGGAAAAGCAGATTTTATGTTATTTTTGTGTCTCTATTGAAATATAACCGTACACCAAACACGCTTTGCTCATTTATCTTTATAATAAGCCTGTAATTAGGGCTATGTCACAGTCATTAAAAAAAATGGACCTATATTTGGTGTTACTGTGTATCGTATACACTGGTTTTAATGTGCAGCACGTGATTTTAATGAATACTTATGCTGTACAGACAAAACCAATTTGTTTGTTTCAGACGAGTTGTATTTACGAGAAACACATTTTGATTCTTAATAAACACAAAATTACTTATAAAATAATAAATATAGGTTTGTGAAATACATGTTATTAGAAGCACAACAAGAATGAGCTACTACTCTCATTTGAATCTGAGCGAGATATAACCTATTAAATATGTTATATCTTAATTGTCACTGCTACTAGATAGTGTGTTTTTATTTTCACCAAATAAATATTTATTTCGAACAAATCAGTGTTTGTTTAACATAAAAATAAAAAACGAGTTAAGTCATTTGAATAGAAAAAGAAACCCCATTTTCTCGCTCTGTTACATGTAACTTTAATGTGCTTTACCAGCACGCCATAACATTAAACTATTTGGGTTATTTAGCTCCATAAGTAATTAAATTGAAACGAATGTTAGGCGACAGTAATAAAATTTACAATAAATGTGATGGTATTAAATAAGACACCCAACTGGGGCAGTTAACGTTTATTTTAGATCGACGAATAGCT